AGTGAAGTTGTCTTAGCTCCTAAAGCCACTGCATGCCAATTCCAGCGGATGCTCCCACCTGAGTTCACCAGGTGAGTGGGAGGTCAAACAATGACTTTGGAGCAAGGTATGAAGTCTGCTATCAACGAAATCACTGGTCACTGCCGTCTCCCTGGATGGGGAGCCGGGACGGCACACACCAAAGGCTAGAGACACTGACAAACAAGACCCAGCAGCGAGCTCATTGGCGTGCGCACATCCAAGCCGTTGGCTGCACCGATATCCCCGGTGAAACGTCCACTGCATCAGCTACCGCTTTTAGAGGGTAGCTATCTATCGTTCCCTCTCCAAGCCATCGGCAAATGGGCCCTTGGGAGCTGTAACCACTGCACGACATGTATGCAGTTTCTAAGCCTGACTACAATGATGATGAAACTCAGCTTACCCACGGAACTTTGATGGAAGATGATTGGCCAGGGATGTTCGTATGGAGACACCTGAGCTAACACCTATTAGTAAGATGAGTATGTCTAAAAGTCATATGATGGCCATTTAGAAATGACTCTGCTTCAGAAAAAGCGTTCAGCTCCGAAATGGCTTTCCTGAGTGTTCAATGAAGCATCGGTGAGAGTAGACTAGCAGCGGTCACGTGGTCGACACGAAAACCAAACATAAAGCATCGCTCCAGTGGTCCACCCTGGTTTGTCAGAATATGTTCCAACTGGACACCTGTTTTAGAGAGTCAAGTATGAGTCATATATGATTCATCGAAAACTTGGAGCGGTGAATGATGTTACAATCAAACTCACTAGTCACCTAATAGGTACCTGCCATCGAATCAGCCAACGTGAGTCATTCGACGTAATCCACCGACTACCCCAACTAATCTTCGAAACAGCTGAATTCATCGTAATTCGGAGAGATTTCCTCTGTCTCTGGCAGCAAAAGGACATGCAAAATTTCAAGGGTTGTCTCACCCTATTAGTTAGAATTTCCAACAGCTGGATAGATAGTTTCGCTGTTTAATATCGACAGTACAACATTAATTTATAACAGTTTAACCTGGCTCCCGAAAGTCTCCAAAATAATGGATTTCGCCTGTCAAATTTGAATACTTAACGAGGTACTGGAATGCCGGATATCATTCGAAATTCCATTCTATAGCGAGAGCCACCGCTCAAGTGTTTCATTCTTTTTATGATGTCATTACCGCGGATAATTTATTTGTTCTTTAGAATAATCTGAATCCTTTAACTTATGGACTCTAAATCACTTGTTCATGACATTTTCGTCAGCATTGTGATTAAATTACGATTCATCAGGACGTAGCAATGAAATTCCAAATCACGTGACCGAATGTTTACTCAGCTTTTATAAAGTAAACGCAAGCATCTTGCGTTTTTTCTTCTTACTGATGGAACTACTAACTCAAAAGTCTTCCTCAGAATTGCCAATAAAACTGTTCACCATTATTGAAAAATTGAGAAATTTCAACGATATCTACACAGGACAACCACATTCATAAAATCGATACGGAAAACGTTACCACGATGGATACGATCATTATAGGGTAAATTTTATTATAAAAAACCGGAGCTTGTAATAAAATCTGCTGAACTGAGTAGACCAGACTTCCTAATGTGCACCCCGAGCTGATAATTTCCTTTCATGGATGGAGCAGATACTGTGCCACTTCATGAGGTTGTTCAATTTGGCAGCTTGTTCGATTAACGTGGACACAAGAGGGAGACGAGTGCATTGTGATGTAACGCAAGTATTCAGTCTCTGATAGGTTGGTTGAAGAAAAACAAATTTTTGTGGCATCAAAAAGATTATCAGAACTTATGTCTTTACTTGCTTCGCTCAGTAAGCAAAACTTTAACACTGCACAGTATGTAATCCGCAAGATAATTGAAGAGTTATGCGTAGTGGGGAACAGACTACTTAGTAGAGCTGTTTTCACCCAGCCCTGTGCTGATTGGAAGAAAGTAACGCGTGGACGATCTACGGTCGAGCAACAAAGTACGAAGACACCAACCTGCAAATCCACTC